TTTCCATACGATTCAAATTAGTACAACATAATGGGTGTACTTTATTTCTCGCGGATTCCATTCTTTTTACTATATGTTGCATTTGAAAATGTTTGCCGTGATTTTTGTGTTAAGGGTTGCATTCCGGTATAGTTATTTAAAGAATTATTGAGCTTTATTTGTCAGTTCGTGTTTTAGCGCATATTAACACCGACGCAACAAACACTCCTGTCTGTCAAAAATGCATTACGTTCAATCTTGTAAACCTGGTTTTAGATTTGCGTTATATACCAATTTGCAATACTGGCTTATTCAGTTCAGTTTCGGAGCAATTTCATTAATTTTAACAATTTTAGCAATTTTTGAATCTTTTGTAACTTCCAATATAATGTCATTCCTTTTTAAGTTGGATATTCCAATATTTGAGGATAAAATTCATCTCAACTATCAAGGGGTCATCATTAGGCCCTAATGTATACTTAAAATGCCTATTGTTATCTTACTATGACGTCATGATTGCTATTGATTCGAGAGTCGTGATTTTAAGAACGCTCCTCACATGCCTGATTATAGACACCCGCCGAATAAGGGTACTGCGTTTTATCCAAGATGATTGCATTTAAATATTGTAGTGATGAACAATTTATAAACTCCTAACTAATGCTCAAAGAGATGTTCTGTGTTTCGTTTACAGCTTATGTCAGTTTTATCGCCAATATCACTTCAAATTACGTCGGATTAAATTAACTGCTATGAGGCTTTTACGATTACATACTTACAAATTGTGGTAAAGTACTGAAGTATCTTTGACTGGTGCGCTAGTTTGATATAAGGCATTCGTGTTCCTGCACCAATGAGCAAAATTACATCAAAATCATCATAAATATAGAGAAATATAGAGCGGACTCAACAGGTGAACATTTGCAGAGTGAAGTAATTAAAACTAGCTTTTGTGTCTCAGGGTTGCGTTTAATGTATTCGATTTTTCTAACGCGATCATAGATCAAATGTGTAAGTTTTTTGGAAGAGCATAGAGTCCTTATAGTATGATCTATCGCTAATATCGCAACGACCTCTTCTAAACCAAATGTAGAGTCTTATTTGAAACACCTGACGCAATGCATTCACTTGTTCGGATGGATTACTTCGTTTTTATTTGGACCATTATCATCGTCGTTTATAAGTATATTAGATTCCCAAAAGAAAACATGAAGAGTTTCATCCTGTAATTTGTATTTTCATGTTATCACTTTTAAAGGAGAATTGCATACCTTTGGTACATTAATTCTCGCTCTCTTTCCTTGGCAATGTAATGATAGTATATATATATTAAAGAAACCCAACCTCAATATGCTAAATTGCGTCCATTTTCGCAACGTTCTCGTGAATTGCATCGGAGACCAACGTGAACAGTGAAAAGCAGCACTTCATCTTAAATGTACAGTGGCTAGTATTTTTTGAGTTAAGACCAGCGTGATAAAGCAACATAATTTGTTAACCATTCATCCAGGGGAGACGATCATGGTATGAGAGAACTCTTAACAAAAATGTTAAATGTTTCCAGAACCTTTTGATGTTAGTGTGTACTTGGTTAACGCTCTAACAGACGTATTATTGCCTAGCCTTTAGAAAAAATCTCGTTGTGGTCATGTTTTGAAATGCGAAATAACTTTTACACACTGGAATCGGCGAGGAATGAAATAAACAAGCATGTATTCGACACTCTAAATTGCGCAGAGATATCAGAAACCCGAGCGCATAAAGTAAGCCTTAAGACGTCAAATGCCCGGATGTGAATGTAACGAACGGGATGATTATAAACTTGTGAGAATAATGGATTCTGCACTGTATTATTTAACAATTAGGGGGCTACAATATACGGGATGAAACAAAACTTCATTTTTCTTTGAGACTTTCTGGCATGTTTAAAAAATTAGTGAGAAAAAAATCGTAATTGTATACACTGATGAAATGTAGCTGTATATACAATTTCACTTTGCCCATTAACGTTTTAAAGTAAGTTATACATTTTAATGATTTCTCCAAATAATCATACAGAAATATCAAACAAACGCTTGCCACCAAATGATCATACATTCGCTCAAAATTACGAGAAATAACAGATCGCACCTGTTACGCGGTTTACAATACCCAATAGCACAAGAAAGTTTCTTCCACATAAAGAACCTGTCTTAGTAAGGATCCGGAATTCGTCATCATAAACAACGACACCTCTTCTCAGTCATGTTATTGTTAATGCGATTTAGTGATCAAAAAGAGCTACGACTTTATTTTAACTACATCATTATTCAAGATTATTTTTTCTAATTGGGTCATTCAGCCGGTGGTGGTTATATCACCCCGATATCACCCGTGCCTATGTTAATATCTCATAATAATTTGTATTGCAAATAAAAACAATAAACCTATTAATTAAAAAAATATGGCGGTGACACTAGATCGAATATTTCTCGTAAAACAAAAATATGTGATAAGTATCAGAATAGCCGAGATGGAAGAATCTTTTAGGTTAAATGATACACCGTGTGTGTTTTTATTGTTCAGGCCTAACGGATTTCTTAGTCTAATATTTAGCATTCTTTGATTCACACTCAGCAAAAAATCAGAGATATGTTCCTAATTACATTACTAGTTCGTTAAACTGTTTGTCGATCACATTCCTTAACCAATAGAAAACTTATACCATCGATTGTAAGACAATACATGTATATTGATTGTGTGTAGCATATTTACAAACCCTTTCCCCAAAAGTGAGGTATTTACTGACCCCCCCTCCCGCCCCCTGAGGAGCCTCCCCTTTGGACTACATATACAGGGTGTTCATATTTTAAATATTCTTTGTCATAATTAAAACATTATCCGGATTTTCTAACGTGTCTAATGTCTGGCTCTATGTCTATGGCCTTTGAGACAAATTTTTCTATACCAACAGAAATAATGATAACTAGGGGTTATTGCCCCCCTCCACCCTTGGGGATTCTATGGAGACCTTTTCAGCCCCGATTGAGAACCATATTCTTGGGGTAAGGGCCAGGCTACACTGAAACAGTAAAAACAGGTTAGCCAACTGTGACAAGTGCTTATTATGAAATCACGGAGTTTTTTTTAATTAATCGACGCTGCTGAAGTGCTCTAGCTACAGTGTTACAAATTGATTGATTACAAAACATCAATTTCTGTGATATTACAAAAACACTTATTAGGTTATTTCTTTGTGTTTACAAATGTTATGAACGAGTATTGTAAGAAACATCAATTACAGATATATTTCAAACACACACTTATATTTTCTTGAGCTTGTTAACTTCTCGAGATGTTTTCCACCAATGTTTACATATTGGCAGAAAACAAAATAGACACTTGGAACTTGGACGTCCAATGGAAACAACCATAGATTACCCTGAGCCATATCCAGTCGGAAAAGTAACAACATTCTGTGATGATAACAAATGATTTTACCGTATTATTGTTATTACATATAAGTGGTTTTTAATCCGAGTGGTTAATTTGCCAAATGGTCAAATGCTATTATGTTTCCTCATGACAAGAAACTCGCCATTGGATAACATTATGAAGATAATATTTCCGACATTTAATTTTCCGAACATGGCAAATTAAAAATTAGGCAATGGGGAAATAAAATGATTGGGAAACACTTAGTAATTTGACTGTTTTGATGCTGATTCGATCTTAAGTATCTCACATGGAGATTTTAAAGTTTAAGAAAATAATAATCAATCTGACTTCAAAAATACGAATTGAGCTCTTGCTATGAGTCAATAGAATACAAATAAAACAAGGTATTAATATGCAAAATGTCACGACCTGCTATTTGTTACAGACACCGGACGCCAGACGTCAATCAATCGCCGTCAAAAAAATGGTGACATATGTCGCCTCCGTTTTGGTGGTGACAAAATGACAGAATCGGGATTGAAAATACTGTATCAGATTGCACGAGAAGTAACACTGCCAAAACAAATACAAGTAAAAATTTAAAACAAGCCGACAATTCCAGATGGTATCAAACTTTGCTTCAATATGAGAAGTTTTGAAAGTTGAATAAGTTATCGGAAAAAAGAATACATACACTTGATTTGCGTTTGCAGGGAAATTAAAGAAATTCCAATGGAATTTTTAACGTCATTCGATACATTTGGGGAATGAATTGTTATTGTAGGGTACAGGGGTGAAGAATGTAAATCACGATAAATTAAATGTTTTTCAAATTAAAACATTAATTTCTAAGAGTTTATCGCAGTTGATAAACCTTATCTTAACTACTAAGGTAGACCGAATAGAAATTGCAATTTCGAACCATTTGAAATTTTGCATATAACATTAAATCCCAAAGAGGAAGAGGAAAACGAAATACAGCAACAAAAAGAGAGCATAGCCACTCACAGGGAAAAGAACCCCGCGGTATCATCAACCTATGGTCTTCATAGCAGCTTTCTGTTCATTCAATGAAAACATTACTTAACAACCCACCCCCACCCACCTAACGAGATGCGCAAGTACGTCCAAAATACGCACCATTTGTAACACCTTTGGCAGCTCCTTATAGCTAAGATCGTCGTGGTGAATTAGAAACAATGTACTTCAGTCTAAATCGAATTCCTTGATCTGTTCAAGGGCTCACCATTCTCCACCCACATATACACTTGTTTCAAACTATTCACACGTATTGATTAAATATCTTTTAAACACTACAAATCTTAAAATTAATACTTTTCACATGCCACTTATCAATAAACTACTCAACGATTTTAATAGAGCTGTGCTATAATTAGATTTAAATATCAATTATTTAATGTTAACGTCTATTAGACAAGTGCATGTACGTAATATCAGTCATTATCCTACACTGGCACAAAACATTATCAATTTAAACGTATCTAAAGTTGAGTATACAATTAACTACCTTTATTATAAACCGTTATCATTTATATAGCTTCGATTAAAAATTTAATAAACTATCAACTTTATAGTTTACTCACCATCCCCTAAATGTATTAATCCATTATCAGCGTGTATTTGTTAATATATATTAAGATGTAGGAATCATATCTTGTAGTGATTCTCTTCAGATCTTGATACTATCCGTCTGCGTGTATTTATCCGAATGAAAGGTAAGGTATAATGGCATACAGCTGAGTAAGTCTAAGTGCAGTTCAACTCTTCGTTTTGAATAATAATTCCCCCTAACACTAAAAGAGAATAGATACATGCGCTTGTCTAGCAAAGTTCACTGTTTTGAAATCTCGGGATTTATTGCTGTGAGCTCGGACGAACACCTGTTCAGGCGAATTACTGCTATGACGTCATCTGGAACTATTTACAAAGCCCGGGCTAAGATCAGGGATATTTATTTAGCTATTTTCGTAGTTTAATCACACGAGTAAATCCGAATTTTCATGTTTCATTAGAAAATGCTGTAAACTTGCAACTGTTGGTGGCTGAAGTGTTTTACTGCGAAGTTATCTGTTATTTCAGATGCAACCAACAAATGTTGTAGCATGTAACTTGTATTTACTATTTAGTATCCGTGCAGCCCCCACAGCTCCAGAGGCGCATGCCTTTCGCACGCTAAGCATCGGTTGAGATGATCCACATGTATTTTTGTTTCAGTATTTATGGAAAATATATTTACAATGTACGTAAATTAAGTATACAATGGAATGATCGGACTATTTCACCATTTTATTTAAAATCAATTACTTTTCGTAAAGTTGAAAAATAAATCTTTAGAATAGTACATGGCTTATGGCTGAAATATATACAGAAAAACACAATTTTAATAGACTCTGAGATATCCCGGGCAAACTATCATTCATTTGTTTATATCGGATTCCCCTACGAAGAATAACTAAGTTTACTTTTTTCTTTGGAGACTACCCAACTATATGTTCTCAGATACTGCGTTTCACACTGTTGTTATTCAAACGTGCAAAACGAATTTGAAGCACGTGACGTTACTTAAATATACAAAAACACTTTCCTTGTTTATCCTAATACCTGACACATTCTGTAGAACTGGCATTTGTATGAAATTAGAACGCTACTTTATTTGCCATATATCTGTTTATACTTAACTTATTGCAAATGTTTTTTCTAATAATTTTATCAGTTTTAGGTTGCTAACGTGAAGAAAGATGTTTTGGAATAACAAACTTAGCGGCCAAGTCAACCTTTTCACGGTGCTTAAGATAACAAAGATAGCCACGTGGATCTCACTATAAGCAGTCGAACCAGCACTCTGTAAGATGAAAGATAACCCACATTACGATTAACATGTATATCCTTCATTTTGCCGAATACAAGTTTCAAAAAGATTAATGAAACATCACAAGACATGGGCGTAGCCAGCTTTCAGTCAGGGAGGTGCGATCGCCAAAGAATTTTCGGTTTCATGGTTTTATTTTTATTGGTTATGAGGATTATCTGCGATCGCACCCTTCGCACCCCCTCCCCTGGCTACGCCTATGCAAGATATTTATGGATAGGTTGATGCCCCTCATAGGGGAACATGGGGCAAAACGGCCCTCTGGGGCAAAGTGGCCCATCGAAATATCTTTTGAACTATAAAAAGATGGTTCTTCAAAAGTCACAAAATCGAATTTTGAAATATCTGCCACCTTCTCGACCGTCCATTTTTAACCAAGCAGCGTCTCGCTTTACGTAAGAGGTAATTCTACTTTTCACCCTCTTTTTTGGAAATTACCCCTCTCACGAGAATCTCTAAAAAATCCGGCAACAATAGAATATCGTTTTGATTTAACATTTTACATAGAGTGTGCACATTTATTCTTTATTTGTAAAAATTTCGAGCTTCAAATATAAGGCAAATTAAAATGACGTCTATTTGAAAATTCACATGTCTTTGGGGCAAAACGGCCCACACATGTTATAACATACAAAAATCTTATTGTGCAAGAACAATTGGTTTTCAAATGTAACAATTTTTACATCTGGCTTGTGCCTTATTTCCTTCCGACACATATCGAATGACTAGAATTATGGTAGGGGTTAAGAATACTTTATCTGTCAAAGGTTTGAACGTCTGAGATAAGATGTTTGTGGACGAGTCTTGTAATTGATTAATTTTGGTTTCAAAACCCATGTAACAGAGGGTGGGCCGTTTTGCCCCACCCATGGGCCGTTTTGCCCCACTCTCGACAATATTTTTGACCATTGAAAAATCACAGAAGATAGTCCTAGGAAAGTATAAAACACTCGAAAAATGTAAACCACAAACCATTAATAAAGTGGAACATCAAAGTGCGCGATGATTGACAGATACGAAAATACCCCGTACAGAACAACTTAAAATTAAATTTTTTGGGCCGCTTTGCCCCATGTTCCCTTACATGCCATAGTCCAGAGTTCCAATAGTTTATTTGATTCGATATATTGACGCTGCATTATATTTTTTTATTCTAAATTTGCCTCGAGTATCAAATTAGCCACCTCTATTTTCAGACTCTGGCTACGCTCCTGCAATCTAACAATATATTGGTATCTAAAATTAAACCAATCCAGGCTAATCTCACTTTTAAAATCCAACGCAGCCAGATGTCCTATTGTAACCGTTCCTTTGTTTTCACATGTTCATAAGATTGAAAGTCAAAATCACTAGTAGCTGCTTTTGACTAAAATAAATACATATTCAAAATGGAAAAAATCACTTGTAATGAATAAGACTTATAGTAGAGTGATAAAGATTATATTTTATGTTTTTCAATAAAAAGCGTATAAAGATGATCTGTTTTTCTTCAATTTTGATGGAAATAAACAGGAACGACATTAAAATACAAGTACCCTTATTCTTAATCCCCATCGAGTCATACTTTAAAGAACAGAACCTTTGCGAAACTACACCTTTACTTCTAATAGCTATTCTGGACAGCGTTTAAGAATGAATGACTGAATCTCGCTTTTCAGCTTTTCTATTTTGCGAGTCAATAAATGTAATATCAATATCAAGTCAAATGTTATTCCATGGAATTTCTATTGAATGTAAAGTTTCATGCATTTTTTGAGAGATAAAAAACTTGATTTGAAACATCTTATAATATCGGAAAGCACCTACCATTGATGCTGCGCCTTCCAAGCTTATTTCCAAGTAGAAGCAGATGCAATTTCAGGGTTTTGATCAACACAATCTACAAAGTAATCCCCGCTATGAACGATTGCATTTCCACAAAAAGCACCTCGCTCCACTTGTACATAAATTGAACAAAAGGTCGGGGCCGGGCCATCAACGATTAAAATACACATGCTTGGAGTTAAATCTTCAGCAGATACAGAAATGCTCAAAATCGGATTGGACAAGATTTCAAAGAAAGGAGAAAATTAAGTTTTACATGTTTGTCACCTTACTCGAGGGTATGTCGGGATCTGCCATGGACTACAACAAATTCAATTAAGCATACCTGGATTTTTGTATACAATTTCAAAACCCCAGAAAAATAATCCGATTTCGGCCAGAATATTTCGTTTTAATTAACGAGTATTTTGGGATCAAAGGCACTGATTGAAACTAAAAACGCACCTGTGGGTATCAATATGCGAAAAACTATTGTTAAAAGGTACGCCTAAACGTGGATAAAAATAAAAACACCAAAATGTATATAGATACTTGTGAAATTATATTTACGGGGTTTCTTCTCAGTAAAATCAACGTTACATGAACAGTATAAACATATTCAATACACACAACAAATCAATTGATTGAGTACCTTCCAAGGAAATGGAATTCGGTGCGGCGGTCTCAACAATAAGGCGGAATCCGAGATCAATTGATACTTGTATATCGAAGTCGTAATGCCCCGGTGTAATGCTTGTAGATCTAAAAGGCATTGTGACATATTATAAATATTGACATTCGCTGACCTTACCTTCTTTTAGTAGTTCAAACGAATTTAATTTTGTATAGATATATGTAAATTGGATATTGGATAACCCGTCCGCTGTTGCTGTCCGTTAACTTAGATCACCGTTATCCCTAGGATCCCGCCCGGGCCTAAGATATGGCCCATCATGACATTGAACGAGGGGTGACATGTCTATCAGAGACTGCGACAGGCTCGACGCTTGTAAGAAATGAGATGCGATCTCATAATACATGTACATGTTCCTTTATTGTCCTATACGGCCGGAGTCTTATATTTGACAATTATATAAGTAATGGATTTTGTTGCACTTTGTGAATTACATATCTAATGATTATAACTGTGCGCAATAATTCTTGGAATAACGTATAGACATATTGTAAACAGAGTTAACTTATCGTAGCGTTCTCTAAAACTATTGTATGGAAAACCTAACTTGCAATTTAATTTAAAGTACAGACAGTTCTACAGTCGGACAACTTGGCCATACACAGGCTGAAGAAAACTTCTTCATCATTGGCCATACACAATTAAAACTAGAAAGTCAAATCCAACATTGATCCAATACAAATTCACTCCTTAAGAGAGCTTCATCTCCACTGTGTATTTATTTATTACAAGATATGCTAGTTATCCAATGAAACACACGTACGCAATGAGATATGTGGTCGAGCAAAATCCAGCTACCCAAAAAATAATTTTTATGCGTTCATAAGTAGCTCGTATTTATTCTATGTTTAAAATCCAACGAAATGCAATGACAACTACTAAGATCTTGACTTGACTTGACTCTGGACTTTAAGGTATCGTTCAGGGAGTGGGGAGTACCAGGATTTTCAACATCGAAATGTTGGTTCCTAGCTCCGCATTGTAAATCATAATTAACTTGTTTTCCATACTCCATGTTAACATTATCACATTGCATTATTTGTAATGGTATTATATTGTTTCCAATATTTAGTAGAATTCTTGCAATTCTTATTGATTTGAATTCTAAAAAAGCAATTCGATGTAAGAAAATACAATCTAAAAGTCTTAACTAAAGTTTGTGCATTGATTTCGCATACCAATGCAACACTCTTATATTACCTTAATCACATCCGACAAATTACGTCCCTATCGTCAGTGATAATTTCCGATGACTCCCGGGGATCTCGGATCAGTTTCCGTAGATTAATGAGACTGTTGTTAAAATGACGAGCCTAATATCCTATTTACTTGTTAAACTGCAAACTGCTATTATCTCTGGAAGGTGTTGAGGGCTCCACTTAAGATACTTAGCACTTCAATTATTGCCTTATCAAAGCCCTTTGCTGTTATAGATTTCACTTTTCCTTTCGCATTTCGATACTT